TGTTAGCATAAGTGTTGCTTCATATACTAAGTGTGTTGACCTTATGAATGAATTTAGTACTACTAGTGTTTAGGTATTTACTGGAACATTATTTTTAAGATGATTCTCTTTTAATTCTCCCTTTTTATACTTTTTTATTTTGTTGATGTAGATTAGTGCTTCACAGGCTCCTTCTGTAAAGGTTTATCCAATGCTTTTGAGTTGTCAACTTTTATCCATTTTAGATCCATCTTTCTTAGATTTAAAGTTGTTCCTTTTTTTTTATTTCTAGATATCTAAGGTTGATGTTGTAGAAGTTGAAGCTACCAAAAATTTCCCTCTTTTTTGCCCAAGCATAGCAGAGTCACATTCCTAGAAACTAGATTCTTCTACTTTAAAAGATCTAACAGTGTCTCAGATTGCAATTACTGCACCCTTTAAAGGCAAGAGGAAGTTTGTGGCTAGGAAAGTTTCTACTATGAAGTACATTGGTGGGACCTCTTCAAGAAGTGTACCTTTAGAATGGAAGACAATGAAGGTGATTAATTAAGAGATGAATTGAACTTCTTTATTTTAAGCCAATCCTATGTTATGATTTTATTTAGCTATTTTCATGTTTGTTGTTTCAAGAGTTGAACTCTTATATTTTGGATTTGTAAGAAGCACTATCATGATTTGGATTTTTTTTTTTTGGATGGGCTGTATTGTATTGTCTCTTATTCACTACCCTCTAGCTTCCAAATCATTTGTACTTGTTGATGAATTAATATGTAATTGATGCTACAAAGTGCAGAAGCACTCTTTTGATTGTTATGCTAATATATTTTGCATTTTGATTATTGGTTATTTTGGCTATTTTTTCACACGTCTTTCTAGTATGTGTAAAAATCATTTGCCTAAAGCGAAAATTTTGAAAGTCAGCATAAAAATTTCCTATAAACAAAAAATCTAAATTAACTAAAATTAAGTATCATGCCTTATAAGAGACATGGCATGATCAAAAAATACCGAGCATTTCAAAGTACAATGAAAATTGTGACATAGATACCAAAAATAACATAACAAAGGGCAATCAATCCTTAAAAAAAATATCTACTCATTTTTTAAAGCATATAAATCATACCATCTTCAGTATAAAATATAATCTTTGCATGTTATTCAATTTTCTCAAATAACATCTTCATTTATCCAAGTAATGTAATTATTTGGCCAAAGAACATTTAAGCTATAGTTGGAAAGGATCAAGTGAGAAGCACCTTCTTTTGTTTCTAGATTCCTGAAACCACCCTATTTATTCTATAATTTGATTTACAATTGATTTGATTAACACTAACAATATTTCAAAGAATATCAGTTTGAGGTATGAGAAGTCAAACTATTCCAATTAAATTCCTCACATTATAGGAATGGGATTTATTTCAAGCAGTACATAATAACATTTTCAAATGAGTTCCTATAATTATATTACAATCAAATAAAGGAACAAAAATTACTGCATATTATGATTTAGGATTGTTATTTTCTCATGTCATTAGCAAGAAGCGTTGGGTAAATCCTGACAATAAGAAATCGTTGTTTTTTCCCCATTATTCTTAAGAATTTTTAATTATTTTAATTATCCTTAAATTTCATGTATATCTACATTTGTAGTTATTTATAATCTGTATCTTTTTATTATAGACTAAGTGGGTCATTCTATGTCATTTGATGGGAGTTTTTGGCGGCTTTGAGATGTTATGAACAGTTTTTTTCCCACTTGTCATATATTTTTCACTGCATGAACAATGTTTTTCCTTGAGGAGATCAAGGGGTTGATGTCCACCTTTTTACAAAGCCATTCTTTTTTTTTACAGATTTTAGCTTGCTAGAGGTTTGTGCAGAGGGAGATTTCTTGTCAATAGTTTCACTTCCATTTGATAAGTGCCTTTTAGTACTTTGAGTGTCTATTGCACTTATTTATGATATGTGGCTTTAGCTATCACTACTACAAAATAGACTCTTCACGTCACATTTCTAAGCATTTTCACGTCACAATTGAATGGGACATCATACTGGGCGACTTAAAATAATGGCTTATCTACGTCGCAAATGCCTATGACGTGAAATATCATAAACTACGTCCCCTTTAATAATAGGTGAGGTGGTTTTTACAAAATCCACATCCTCCCTTATAGGTGGTGGACGTGGTTTATAAAAAAACAACGTCCCCCTCTAGTAAGAGAGACGTGGTTTCTCATTGCCTAGTTCATAAATTGAGAAACCACATCCCTCTTGATATAGGGGGACGTGGTTTCTTAAGAATCCACGTCCCCTATGGCATAGGGGGACATGGTTTCTCATCTGGATTTACAAACCACATCCCTTTCCACCTATAAGGGGACGTGGTTTTTAAAATTTTTTTATATATAATTTACATTTATTATACAATTAAAATAGAATTTGCCAAAATATGTCATAGAAACAGCCAATTCATACAGTGAAAGTCTAATAAATAGCAATTTATTTATAACCATTTATACACTATCACAACAAAATACACCAAATGCAATGGAAAAACAAAACGATTGCATCTATAATTATATAATTATAAAATTATTTAAAATAATAAGTACATACTTTCATGGGCTAAAAAAAAATTTAAGCATCATAATATCATATACATCATGTAAAACTAAAATTAATTGATCACATTCTTAGGTCAAAACAAAAATCACATTCTTGCATAGAGACCTGTTCAAGAAAATAAAAAAAATAAGGAAAAAATATACCTAGAGAGAAGAGAAGAGATCCTTAGTCGTGAGTAGCTAGGCTTCTTTGTCCATAAAGCTGCTGTGAGAGACAGAGGCAATGAGAAAGCTGGGAGATAAAAGATAGAGAGCGAGGGAGGGAGCTGAGAGATAAGAGACAGAGATTGGGAGAGCTGAGAGATGAGAGATAGAGACAGGGAGAGCTAAGAGAGAGAGAGTGAGAGAGGGAGCTAAGAAAAGAGAGTCAGAGAAAAAAATGAGGAAGCTGAGATGAGAGAGGGAACTATGAGGGAGGGAGCTGAGACAAGAGAGGGAGCTGTGAGGGAGGCAGAGACAGAGCATAGGGAGCTGACACACTAGTTTTGAAAAATGAAAAAATGAGTATGCACGGAGTTCAAAATTTCAACATATTATACGTCTCCCTCCTAAAAGGGAGACGTAAATTTGAGAATCCACATCCCCCCCGGGGGGAAGTAGATTTAAGAATCCACGTCCCCTCTCAGTTGGGGGACGTGGATTCTAAAGTTGGGGGACGTGGATTCTTTTTAGAATCCACGTCTCCTAGGAGGGAGGGGGACGTGGATTGTTTAGAATCCATGTCCCCTTCCCAATTGGGGGATGTGGATTCTAAAGAATCTACTTCACCTAGCTTATGGGGGATGTGGATTCTTAATTTTACTTCCCTTTCTTATTTGTGTGACGTTGATTTGTTTTTTTTTAAGTCCCATTTTCAAAATGGGACGTGAATTAGGGTAGTAGAAAAGCTTTTTTGTAGTAGTGTATCTACCTCAAAAGTTTCTACCTTTGTGAAATAAACTTTTCATAATAAAGCAAACTATGCTTCCAATCAAAAGGAAGCCTTCCAGGCGTCTTTCTCACGGTAAGGAGAATCAGGATTGTAAGTCTACTATTACACATGATCCCAACCCCATTTCTGCTTTAGCTAGCTTGCAAAGGAATCCTCTTCAAGAAATCTCTTCGATGCATGAGAATGTTGCTAGAGGTATATCTGTTCATGTTTGGTTAATTTATATGTTGATTTCAGTTCCACTAGTAGAAATTTCATGAATGTATTATATAGGAGAGATAATTTGCAGCAACGTTTTATAAAGCGTCGAAGTTCATGATTTTCTTCATTTGAGAACTTCAATAACCATTCAACACTGTTGAAGCAATCATTTTCTAAAGGTTTGAGTACTCAAATTAAGGATCCAAGTAAGTTTTCAAGTTTAAAATTTTACATGTTTTCCATGGATGATTCAGCTATATTATTTAATGATTTTCATTAAAGGTCAGAGTGCTTATAATTCAGGTAATTACTAGGCATATCCATATTCAACTTCAATCACTATATATACATAATTCAAATATGTAGATGAGGTGTTTATGTTTGTTTAATATTTTCTATTATATTAGCCCTTGTAGGACTCAATGGCCTGGCATATAATGACAGTGGTACAAGGTTAAGAAATTGTGACCAATTTTTTGTTGTAGAGGGTTGTGCACTTACAGATCAGATTTTACCCAATTCCCAGTATTCTCCATCTATCTTAACCAATTCCAGTTCAATACCAACTTCTTCTACTCCATGTGTGTCCTCAGGTAAGTTTTTTTTCTTTTTAATATTTCATTCCAGCATGCATTTTTTGTGTATTTTAATTTGTGTAGTCTAGATATGGTTTTTCAGTATATGTGATTCAACATTATGTTTTTAATTTTTTTTTAAATATTTTGCAGCTTTAGGTATTTTATTCTATCTTTATTTTTTCGTGGTTTGTGTTGTTTCTTGTTTGTGATTTTGTAATATTCTAGAACCTAAATCTCACCCTGAAAGATCTTGGTAATACTCAGGCCAGGAAAGTACGATTTCAAATATATGCATAAGAAGATATGACACATGGGATCATGTGGCAGCATGTCACAAGCTAAAACAACAAATGGTGGTTGTTGGAGAAGTAGAATGAAAAGCAATATTCACATAGATTATACTTGAGATAGTGCATATTCATAATTTTGCATACTAAGGCAACCTACAATGCTAGCAAATAGGAGATTAATAAGTAATCTTCAGAAGAAAGGAATAAAAGAAGAATGTTTCTGTTGTCTTTCTATTATGAAAATAAGAGAGTACATAACTAAAGAAAAATATGGACATCTATGTAAATTACTCTAAGTAAAAATTATCAAACCATAAAAAATAGAGTCAGAGACAAAATAGCACATCAATGATGATGAAAAATTGACTCGATCAAATAAGTAAATGTTCCCACTTACATTCTTAGTATGGAATGAGTTGAGGGAACCAGGTTTCAAACTCTTTTAGCTTGGTAAAACCTCATACAATTGCCACTAGGATGAAAAATTGAATTGTAAGTGAGCATTGAGGTGATAAATTAAGTAAGCAATTGAGGTGTACAAAGGAAAAACAAAATTTAAGACAATGATGTAAATGTAACTCAAGAATGTATCTACATGTGAAAAAAGATAAACAATCAACTATTAACAATGTTTGCTCATCCCTTCCTTGAAAATTTAATCAAATTCAAAGTTAAGCTCTTTATTTTTTTATGATATTAAATGAAATTCTTGATTGTAACTTTAAATTAAATTTTTAATCCCACACTTCAGCAAAAAAGAAAAGAAAAAACGTCCATCTTAAATAATTAAATAGACAAAACAGTAAAGTGATGAAATAACAAAATCTATGAATAAGTTCTTTTTTATGAGTGATTTGAAGTTTCATTCACTGATAACATTAAAATGAAGTAAAAATTTTAAAATTTGCACTTGGTATAATTATTCTAAATCTATTCAGCTTCCTCAAATATTACTTTTTTTTAATCTAGAAACACCAATCTTTATTTTACTAATTCAAATGTAACAATAAATCCCTTATTTTAGAGGTAATCATGTCTTCTTATCACTTAAAATCCAAAATTTGTATTTGAATTATGTTATTATACTTACAATGCATTAAAGATTAAGGAACAAAGTTTAAAAAATAGCTTCTTAAGATGTGCAAGAAGGGAAAATTACAAAGAAGTTTATTAACAAAGAAATGGTATAAAAAAAAGTCTAGTATTATGTTAAAAACTAATAAGTTCTTAGACAGACAAATCAAATCAAATCAAATCTTTAATAGAAAACCAAATCTTATCTAAAGTTCTTATGTTATAAAACTAATCCCACTTACATTCTTAGTATGAAATGAGTTAAGGGAACCAAGTTTACAACTGCTCCAGCTTAGTTAAGACTTCCTACTGTTGCCTTTAGGATGCAATATAGAATTGTAAGTGTAGCATGGGCAGTAAAATATATGAAAAACATAACCATAAGAATATATGGTACGTGGAATCACGAGGCAGCATATCACAAGCTAAAATAACATTTATTAAAAGTTGAAGAAATACAATGGGAAGCAGTATAAAAGAAATTATATGAACAAATAAATGGGTGAGTGAAAAATGTTATTGTTAGGCATATACACATAGAACTTAAGATAGTGCATATTCATAATTATCCAATATACTTGTATTCCAATACTAAGGCAAGCCGCAGTGGTAGCAAATAGGAGATTATTAAGTAATCTTAGAAACATTCTAAACTGTGAGACTTTGATTACATCTTCTAGGATATTGGAGGGTGCACACTCAAAGGATCATTAAGCAACATTTGTATGAATGATATTTTATGATTTCTTTTCAAAAAAATTAAAATTAAAAATTATGGACGACAAACATTCCAGACTTTGAAACTTTGATTACAGCTTTTAGGATATTAGAGGAAAACAGGAATAGTAATTGAAAAGAACATGAGTTTAGTGGTATTAGTGTGTGCCTGAGCTGCTTACGATTATTAAGGACTACCTTGCTGCTTAGCATATTATTTAGGTTGCTTATGGTTGTCACATTTAAGTTTCTAGAGGATTTTGTTTACATTTATAGAGTAGATGAGAGGACTTATGTGTGGCACATTTGGTTCCCTTTCAAGGAGTTCATTATTAGTTATGAAAATAATTGATAAAGGAAATAGAGGAAGTTGGAAAAAAGGGAGTAGAGTTCTTAGTGTTAGCTAAAGTATCATAGATTAGTCAAAGGCTAAATTCATTAATCAAATGCTTATACCATCAATTTGCTGTATATAATAGATAGTTGTTGTAAATCATATAACAGAAAGAGAACAAACTATTTAGAGTAATGGATATTCCTAGCAAGAAAGACGACAAATAAAGTTATATTAACATATCCAATGAATCATAAATAAATAAATAATGCATACCCCACGGAAGTGCCCAGATTTGTAATATTCTCCCACTTAGTCTCGTCTGGCACAATGAAAAGGAAGTATCGATTTAACAAAACCATAAGATTAAAAAGGTATTGCCAAGAAAACATCCAAAAATGTACAAATTGCTAAAAAAAAGTAACCAGTACATCCCAAAATCCAAACATCTAAGTGCAGAAATTTTAGGTGCTCGAACGGCTTCCCTAATAATTGAAGAATAACAAACATCAAGCATTTTTGTCCACCATTAAAAAAATTTCCAATTCCAGATATGAGGTAAAAGGCAAATAATTAGGTTCTCATCATTTACCCAATCTTTATACGCCTTCTTAGTAAATCCATAAACTAATTTAAATCTCTATCAAATAAACAAAAACTAGAAATTGGAGAGATAAGGATGGGTTGCACAAATAGAATGATTGAATCTTTACCCCAGTTAGCTCGAGATGAACAAAAAATGGAGAGATAAGGATGAGAAAATCTCAATACCTTCGAGGACGCAAAGAACTCTGATATGGGTAGCTTGGATATGGATGAATCGTTTCAAGGTTCTGTGCATCGCTTGATTTTGCCAGTCTTAAAGCTTTGACTTTTCTCCTTCCACTTCTAAATCTGCATCGTCTCGTGTTTCAGGTGAAAGAGAAAATGACTCACCCTTTTCATTAAGTGGGGACTCTCCATTTCCCTCTCTTTACTTTATTCCAGACACATCTATTCTTCCCTGCAATGAGACACATGTCAAAGAATGATAGAGAGTAATGCTGTAATGTTTATCTTTTTAGTGATAATGAACCGTATATTGTTTGATAATTAAGATTAGTGAAAAATTTATTTGCATGTGGCTTATTATGTGGGGGTAAAAGCCCATTTGTTTAAAATTAAAAAATACATCATTTATTTAAAAATATAAAATATTTTTTTAAAGAGTTTGATATTTAAAAATATAAAACATATTTAAATTTTTTAAAATGTAATCATTACTTTTTTTTAAAATGCTTCTATTAATGAATGACTTTATATTTTTTGTAGGGTGTTTAATAGAAATAAATATGAAAAGATAGGGTTAGTTTAAAAGTAGATAACTACTTTATTGAGATGAGATTTGATTAAAAATATTTTATATTTTTTAATGGAGTAAGTAACTTTTAGGTAATTTAAATATTTTATAAAAATAAATTTGTTTTATATAGAGTGTATAAAAAAGAAAACATTATTTTATGTTTAGCTGTAATAATAAAAAAGTAATTATTACTTAGTTATTTTTAAATTTTATTATATCTTTCTTGATTTTGTTATATAAAAATAATTTATTATTATATTATTTTAAAATTTTTATTATATCTTCATGTATCTCACCTTTTTAAAATACTCTCTCTTATTTATTGTATTAAATTATTTTTATAAGCTAATTAAATTAACTTCTTTAAATAATTAGAAATCTATTTTTTGTTTTTAATTACTTGCAAAAGTTCAAACTAATATTATAAAAATTCAAATAATAGATTTTTTCCAAAAAAAAAGCAAAATAAGATAAAACAAACGAACCCTAATTGTTGAGATAATAATAATTTCATAAGTAGCTTTGGAAAAAAAAATAATTACACCATTTAAGTCATGATTGAAACATATTTCATTTAATATGAATTTCATGTATTAATTGAATATTATGTTCTAATTTCAAAGCTTCTTCTTTAATGATAATTTTGCATTTATTGGTTTTTTTTAATTACTCTCATTTTCCAGATATTGAATCTCTTAATGAAAGTGGTTTCAAGCGTGGGAGTGCAAGATTTTGTAAAGTTCAAAATTATGAGGATCAATCATTTTATAATGAAGGCTCACATGGATATCCTATTTCACTTGATTCATGTGCTTTCCAAGATGCTCGAGGTAAATATACTTATCCTTGAAATTCTAATGCAAACACTTCAGAGTATAGTATGGTATTATGTCTCTTAACTTAATCTCTTATATTATTTATATATTTATTTAGCCACATTATTTATACTTCTTCATACAGTAACACTTATTTATTTTAAATCCATCTCAGACGCAACTTATATGCACAATATTGTTCCCTCATCACCAACTGTCCGTACATTTAATGTTATTTACATGTTAGTTTAGTTTACATTTAATTTTTTTAAAATAATTCCAATTTTTTTTGTCAGATCAATGATACGAAGATATTGATTTCTTATTAAATAATAATAATTTTGATAATGGTAGCACTGATGAAGATGTGGAAGATTTATCAAAAGGTAGTTAATAAGCCATTATTCTTTTTCCCAATTACATGTTAATCAACTTCCAAATATTTGATATGATCATCATTCTATTATCATAGTTGACGTTGCGGACTATAGTTTCCATGAAAAAACTTCTTCGAAGAAATCCTCAAATAATTTTAATTTATCAGGTAATATTACTCTAGTCTCTACTTCTATAAATATTTTTACATATATTTTCAATATTAATGATTTTTATTTTAATTTACAAGCAGAGTATGTTGATGAAGGAGATGTAGTTTTTAAATGCAAGTGTTGTGGTGCAATGATGTGGTGTAATGAAAAGGGTCAGGATTAGAAAGTCAGTGTTAATCATTCTTTTTCTTTGTGTTGTCTCAAGGGAAAATTTCAATTGCCTGCCATGAGTCCCCCACCAGAAGGATTATAAAACTTATTCTTTCAAAAAAAAAAAATACACCATCTTCTAAAAATTTCCATTCAAATATTAGAGCTGACAACAATATGTTTAATTTCACATCTATGGGAGGGAAGATTGATCATTCCAAGAATTGTGGCAGTGCTCCATACACATTTGTACTATCTGGTATAAATCACCACAAGATTGGTAGTCTTATGCCCCCAGAAGGAGGAAAGCCTATATATTCTCAGTTATATATTTATGACACAAAGAATAAGGTTGATAATAGGGTATCTACAGTAAGGTAAGCTATGCTAACTCATAGTAATTTATATGTTTGAAGGATCATTTTATTTTTTTTATTTTTGCTTTCTTTGAATTGCAGTAAGCACTTGAAGGAGAACATTATTGTCCTGATATTGTTAGAACTATCAAATATGTTCTTGATAAGGTCAATCCATTTATCCAGCAATATCATGCAACTCCATTGATGATAAGTAATTGCAAGCACACAAATGTGAAAATAAGATTAATAAATACAAGGGAGCATGATGGCCGAGTGTACAATCTACCTTCAGCATCTGAAATTGTTGCACTTATTATAGGTGATATAGATTTGAACTTTCAAAGAAGAGATATTATTGTGGAGGAGTTCTCATGTTCCATTCAAAGGATTGATGAATTGCACACATCTTATATTCCACTTCAATACCTAATTTTGTTCCCAAAAGGCGAAGATGGACATAGAGATGATATTGAGCATCATGAAGATACACTTAGTACTACAAAGAAGAAAAAGAGGCTTAGCATGAGAGAATATTTTTCTTAAAAGTTGATGTCAAGGGATTGTGAGATCTCTACTTTAGTACATGCTAGTAGACTGTTACAGTAGTTTATTGTTAGTGGTTACACTATGCTTGAGTCTCAAAGATTGTTATGGGTTAGAACTCATCAGAAGGAGCTTAGAGTAGATCTTTACCAAAGATTGTCTGATGCATTATTAAGTGGTGAGCGCAATGCTACTTCAACTGGGAAACACATTATATTGCCATCTTCATTTACTGGAGGAGCATGATATATAATTTAAAATTACCAAAATGCTATGACTATATGTAGATGGGCAAGGTACCCTATTATTTTCATCACTTTCACCTGCAATCCTATATGGCCTGAAGTTACACATCTATGCAAGAATCATTATTTATCTCCATTAGATAGACTTGATATTTGTGCAGAGTTTTCAAAATGAAACTACAAGCTTTAATGAAAACAATGAAACAAAATAAAATTTTTCAAAGAGTCAGTGCAGGTGTGGATGAAGTTTACCTTTGTTTTACTTTATCATATGTAGTAATAATTATAATTATAATTCTTTATTTTGGTTTAATTTCAAAACATATTATTTCTTTTCCAGAGCTGTACACCATTGATTTTTTAAAAAGAGGTCTTCCCCATGCTCACATATTATTGTTCATTGATAAGTGTGATAAACTAAATAAACTAGATGATATAGACAAGTTAATTTGTGTAGAAATCCCTGATAAGGAAACCTCTCCTAATTTGTATGAACCTGTGAAAAAGTTTATGGTTCATGGTCCATGCAATTGAGTTAATCCTAAATCACTTTGCATGAAGTATAAAAAGTATAGCAAGTACTTTCCTAAGAAATTCAATGATTACTCAACCATTAATGAGGATGGATATCCAACTTATAGAAGAAGAGATGATAGTCGAAGAATAGAGATTAAAGGAATTCCCTTGGACAATTGATTTATTATTCCTTATAACCTTACATTGTTGTCTATGTTTGAAGCTCACATTAATATAGAGAAATGTAATCAATAAACTTCAATTAAGTATCTGTTCAAGTAGTTAAGCAAAGGTTATGATAGGATGGTTGCCTCTATTTATGACACTAATGAGGATGGCAATGCAGCACATGCAATAGATAAAATTTAGTAGTATTATAATTTTAGATACATTTTTGTATGTAAGGTAACGTGGCACATATTTGCATTAGATATCCATCACAGGAATCCTTCTATTGATAGGCTTAGTTCTCACCTTCCTAACCAACAATATGTTATTTATTCAAATACTAATGATGTTGCTGATTCATTGGAGAAGCCTATTGGATAAGATGAGGTTCTGTGAGTCAATGTCTCTTGCATGGATGAAGATAAATAAAGATGACAATGATGGAAAAAAACTTACATATTTTGAGTTTTCAAATCGTTATGTTTAGCAACAAAGTAAGCAAAGCTAGAAACAAAGGGAAAAGGGAATTACAGTGGGAAGAATGACTCATGTATCCTTGCTTCTAATAAACTTTATTGCCTTCATGTTCTTTTAACAAAAGTTAAAGGGCCTAGCTCATTTGAATATATAAGGACTGTTAATGGTATTATCCATCCTACATTCAAGGCTGCATGCCTAAGACTTGGATTGCTAGATGATGATAAAGAGTACATATGTGCTATAAAAGAGGATGTTGTTTAGGCAACTGGGAATTTATTAAAGAAGATGTTTATTATTATGTTATTTTGTTCTTGCCTAACTCATCCAAATTTAGTTTGGAAGGAATGTTCAAAAATTATTTCTAAAGATTTGATGTATATATCTTAAGCCAATTCAAATTTTCAAGTAAGTCCACTATGTAAATTTTTTTCATAAACATTGTTATGGTTGATGACAACATGATATTGACTATTTTTTTCAGGCCTTAATATATCTTAATTTGGTAAGGAACAAGCTGCACTTAGAGAGATTAAATTACTGTTATAAAAGAATGGGAAGAGTTTGCTTGACTTCCCTTCAATGCCTTTCCCTAAATCAAGTCCTACAATTGATATCATCAATCATCTCATTTTACAAGAATTAAGTTATGATCGTGTTGCCCTGCAAGCATAATCAATCAAGTTAATTAACTCATTGAATTGTGAACAAAAAATGATATTTGATAATGTAATGACTTCATTGAATTCATTGAAAG